GCACTGTGATCCACTGAGAGCCAATAGAAGTCTAGACATTTGTGGAGGCTTTTTAAAGAGGGACTGGCACTTCTGCCCTTCAGATTTGAAAGCAAGGAATGTAAGCTCTGGAGAGCTGCCAACATCTGAACATCGCATAGTACCTGAGGCTGGCACTAACATGGAGACAGAACGTGACTCCTGAGGCCTTGCTGGAATGATTTCCTTTTTGCTTAAGCCAGTTTGGGTTTGCATGTCTATAACCAGCAAACAAGAATCAAAACGAGAAATTCATTCAATGAAAAACAAATTCAGCTTTCTCCAAGGGAAGGAAGAGAGGAGACTTCATGTGTCCACAGAGAAGCTGGCCCTTGGCCCATCCCTATGTCTCCCATTTCTCCACCCTAAGAGGGCAGGGTCAGCCCAACCACCATTTCCCAAGCACCCACTCTGTGCTTGGCATTGGGATAGGATCTGCAGATATGAAGGCGAAGAAGTATGTCTCCCAACTCCTAGGACCCTACAGTCCTACAGTCACTGGAGGGAAAGACTTGTAAACAGACATGACACTCTGAGCTAACCGCCACGCCAGGGGGAGCCTGGGTGTGGTGGCGGCCAGGAGGGCTGACAGTGATCTGGGCAAGGACAGGAATCAAGACTTGACCACAAGCAGGGGAAGTGGCACAAGCAAAGGCCTGAGGTGTGAAACTGCGCAGGCAGCTGGAGGGCAGTCAGGGCCAGACCTCAGGTAGCTTCTAAGGCCCTTTCTACCCTGCAGATGCTGGGACTGAGCAGGCCAGGTTTACACAGTAAGGCCTCCTGGCATGTGGGAAGCTGTTAGGTTCACCCAGCTGAGCTATGCCAAAGCGGTGAACATGGGCAGACCTGTGGAGGACGTGGCAGCACAAGGCGCGATGCCTGGCTGCATTCTGGGAGAAGCAGGGAAGGCGGTGGGGGTCAAGGACAAACCAAGGACACAGGTCTCAGAGATCAGGACCAAAGGCAAGGGGCCTTCAGAGAAGCAGTACATGACGGGGTAAGAGACAGCCCAGGGACCGGCCCAGTGGGCAGTTAGATGTCAGCACCTGGCCTCAGACCTGGGAGTCCCTGGCACTTGCCTGGCCTTTCACTCCATGCCAGGCCAGACGCCCAGGGACTGCAGGCAGGACAAGAAGAGGACAGAGCTAAGGCCTAGTCCTGAAGTTTAAAAAATGTGAGAGGTGGCAGAACTGGGACAGTGATGAGGTGACAGGCTGAGGGATACTACTGCTCCCTCAAAGCACCAAACTCTGCGATTTGTCATCTTCCACAGGACGGCTACTCGGTACATCACAGAAGGAACACAGCTTCCCCACATGCTGGCTGGGGCAGGGACAGGCTGGGGGAGACATACTCACCAGGAAGTCTTCCTCACAAAACACTTTGCCATTGACAAAATAAAAGGCTTTTCCTCTCAGCTTCCGGCCTAAAGAAAGAACACAACACCAGGGTTAAAAGAAAAATGTTAATAGGTATTGAAAAAAGAGCAAAAGGAAAGGTAAAATCCTTGGCAGAAATAAACACAAAAAATGCCAACTGTCAATAAACAGCTCCCAGTTATGAAAAGATGCCCCGGCCCTCACCAACGGGCAGGCTGAGGCCAGGAGGAAGCGCACCCTGGAAACCATCCTGCGCCCACTTTCTAGCATCTGCTCTCTGTTGAGAAGGGAGCAGGAAACACCCGGTGGAGGAATGGCAGAGGCCACACCGAGGGGCGCCAGGTGACAGTGTCCCAGGAAGCTGCTGGCTCCCCAGGCACTCTGGGCATATTCTCCACCTGTGCCTGTGACAGACTGCCAGGAAGGAGAGTTCTACACGTTGGTGAACTTAGTTTCATTTCTCTTTTTTCGCCTAAACTGTAGAAAATACACATTGTCGGAAGGATAATGTTTTTTGTTTTCTTGATCTAAACATGGTCGGACTGGCAGAAATGCAAAGCACCCCGGCTCCTCAGATGCCACTTTAGTTTCTACAGGCTAAGTTATTGACAAGAAAAACATATATGTGTGTGTGTATATTTTTATTTATTTATTTTTTTTTTTTTGAGACAGAGTCTCATTTTATTGCCCTGGGTAGAGGGCCGTGGCATCACACCTCAAACTCTTGGGCTAAAGCCATTCTCTTGCCTCAGCCTCCTGAGTAGCAGGGACTACAGGCGCCCACCACAATACCCGGCTATTTTTAGAGACGGGGGTCTTGCTCTGGCTCAGGCTGGTCTGGAACTCGTGAGCACAAGCAATCCACCTGCCTCGGCCTCCCAGAGTGCTAGGATTACAGGTGTGAGCCACTGCACCCAGCCCCAGAAAAATATATTTTAGCAGTCCCTTTCATCTCTTATGTAAAAACGCAATGGGGCTGCACAGTCAAGGATCTCTGGATTCACAGACTGGTAACGTTCCCAGTGCCAGGCTCAGAACACACCAGACGTCACAAAAGTTTCAAAAACAGAATGAGTTCCTAGCACAGAATGAAACCAAGCCCTTGAGGCCAGGATCCACAAGGTGAAAGCAACGTTACCAATGTCACAAACATTAAGGGTGCAGAGACACAAAGGAATTCACTGGGCTCTCATTCACAGAGGTAAGAGCCAGCAAAGTGGCACTGGTAAAGGAGAAGAAACTGTGGATGGACACTTGGCAGAGTTCAGAGGGGACTGTGACAGCATCCATGAAGAAAAGGCAGAAGAAAGCAAATTTAGCTACAGAAGTACAAAAGCAAAACCCTCCAGATGTATTAAAGACCTAAGTGTGTAAAACAAATACTAGCATAAGAAATCATGGGTCTTTTAAGTTTTGCTTTTTTAAAAATATCTATCTATCTATTTATTTATTTTTGAGACAGAGTCTCACTCTGTCTCCCTGGGTGGAGTACTGTGGCATCATAGCTCACAGCAACTTCAAACTCATGGGGCTCAAGTCATCTTCTTGCCTTAGCTTCCCTAGCAGGTGAGATTACAAGTGCCAGCTACATTGCCCAGCTAATTTTTCTATTTTTAGTGGAGATGGGATCTTGCTCTTGCTCAGGCTGGTCTAGAACTTCTGAGCTCAGGAGATCCACCTGCCTGGCCTCCCAGAAACAGAAGATTACATGTGTAAACCGCCACAACTGGCCTTGCCTTTTAAGTTTTTATTTTATATGTTATATTTTGTTTTAAAAAGACTTCTTAGGTAAGATAATATAAGCATGAACTTAAATTTCTGTATGAGAAAAAAAAAATTGTTAGGAGTTCAAGACCAGCCTGAATAAGAGCAAGAAGCCATCTCTACTAAAAATAGAAAAATTAGCCCGGTGTGGTAGCAGGCAGCTGTCATCCCAGCTACCCAGGAGACTGAGGCAGACTCACTTGAGCCCAGGGGTTTGAGGTTGCTGTGAGCTAGGCAATGCCATAGGACTTTAGCCTGAGTGACAGAATGAGGCTTTATCTCAAGAAAACAAAACAAAAACCCAAAACTGATGACAAGCTCAACTGCTCCTCAAAAGGGAGGCAGAGAAGAGGCGCCCTGGCATGGGGGAACGTGGCTGGAGACACTGAGGCTGGAATTGAGACACCGGAGAGCTGGGAGGCTGAGGTTAGGAAAGAATGGTGAAGACTCTCGGGCTGACCACCCACTTCCACGCCTCTACACCTGACTTATCTGGAAGGCCCCTCCACCTGCAGGTCTGGTCAGACCCTTCCTTGTAATGGTGTGCGTGCTGCTCCAGGTCTGACGCTGTCTCAGTGTCTCCCCCACCCTCCTGCTAGTTCCCACACAACTTGTCATCCTGGCTGTATGTGCTGCATGGCTTGAGGATGCAACTGTAATTCCAAGTCCGCTTCACACGAGGGGGGTCGGCAAGGGTCTAAAAGAGCTCTGTAAGTGTTGAGTGGAAGAAAAAAGGAAGGGCAGGCCACGGATCAGAAGATGGCTACAGCACACATTAAACAGTATCTAAGACACGTAAAAGACACCAATGAATCAACAAGGAAAAGATAAATAACCCAACCCAATAGGAAAAAAGGGCACAGGAGGGAAGAGCAAGGGCATAGAAGAGAAAAGCTGTTAAACTCCGGGCAATAACCAGGGTTATTACTGATAACTAAATATCTATAACAAAAAGATGTTCCATCTCACCAATGATGAGGCTAATACAAATGAAAACCACAAGGACATTCTGTATCACTCCCACAGAACGGCAAAATTACTGAGTCTGACAATACCACGTCTTAGAAGAGGAACCCGTTCACACAGGTGGGAGTGTTGACAGGGATGCCCACTTGCGAACAATTTGTCAAGAGCCAACAGAGCTGAAAATCCACATAACCCACAACACAGGGCTAAGGCCAAGCTTTGAGAAGCTCCCCCAAAGTCCATCAGGAGGTCCACATACAGATGTTCACACAGCACCGTTTACAGAAAAACTGGAAACATCTTCAATGTTCACCAAGACAGATGAATTGATAGAGGAAGAAAGTAGTTATGATCAATGAATGTGATATTAGACAGCAGACAAAATGAAAAAAAGATACATATCGCTATTGAATGAACTAACACACTGCTGGGCAAATAAGGCAAATCGCCCAAAGATACCTCAATACAAATGTGTTATACGTAAGTTCAAGTACACACACACACATGCACAGACTATGTTTTGTTTT